AATTATTTTATGATTTATTTAACGCAAATGCCCCAACTTGGCTGAGCAGGGCTGTATTTAAAATTGAGGCGTGACCGACATGACCAACGTGACCGACAGAATTCCTGTTTTCTTGAACATAGAGGACCTTCGCTTCGCTTCGGTCGATTATGAAATATTTCATACAGTAAGAACGTTAGTTCGGCTTTTCGAAACGTGTCGGTTGAAGCCATTTCATTTTTTTGCTTTCAGCACTTACCGCCACGTCATATCTTTCTGGTCATTTCCTAACAAAAACTGAATTAACTGACTAACGGAGTCACGTTGGTGATTAAATCTCCGTGACGGAGAAGTGAAAAACACTCGTGTTAATTACCAGTTTGGAAATAAATGAATTTCTTCCCAGTTGTCATATAAAACAGAAAATCAGGTTTACGTTGAACTCAACAAGGTAAACCATTACAACATCAAAACCATTCGAACTCCCGAAAATAATCATTCCTTGGCTGCTGATTCAGTGCCCCGAACAGCCTGCTCGATTGGAACCAAATTTCCCATCCAATCGCGCCAGCACATCATTGGCTTTCTCAGCTTCTTTAGACGCTTTACCAAACAGGACAATTAAGATATTCTTGGCTTCCTCGCTGTATTTAAACACACTGTTAATCATCTGAGCAGCCGATGATTCAGATTCCTTTTTTGTTTGGGACAGATGTGCAGTACCGTTCAACATTTGCTGATGCAACACCAAACTGAGAGATACTGCCTGGCCCATCAGCTGAAGAGCGCGGAAAAGCTCATATTCCGGATACACCTTTCTAAAGGTAATTTAAATCATGTACTAACTAGTAGGTTGTTTGCAATTACGGTCGTATAAATTACTGGAGAACTAGAGTCGAAAAACCTACCGCACACAGACCGTCTGCTCTTCCATCATCTTCCAGCCATCTTCTACGCGGTTTTCATCAAAGTACTGTTGCGGCACCCGCCAGCAGCAGAGATATCGGAAATGCGCATCCGGCTGCAGGATGCCGGCACTCTCCAGTTCTAGGCCGAGATTCGTGACCAAGCCCATCATCTTGTCAAGATCCTCCGGATGACGAAACTTGAAGCTTTCGTACTGCTCCACAAATCGGTGGTACTGCGTCAGGCGACCACTGTTTAGTGCGCCGCATTCGGAGCAGGGTGCCAGTGCACGGCGGTCGCTTGGAATGCGGTTGGTGCATCCCACTGTGACACATCGTAGTGGATTACTGTCAGCATCCTAAAAGATCACAGATGCGGAATACCGTGCAGTTAATTATTACTGCTCGAGGGGTTAACAATTCGTACGCACATATTCTTCCGTGCATTTGCGGCAAGTACACTTATATCCGTGAAGCTTCTCAAATGCACTGCGGCGTTCCGCTCTTGTTTGGCGGGATGGTTCCAGGAGTTCACTGTGCCGCAACTGCAAACAGTACAAATTTCTACTCTGACCGTAATTCGGCGCTACTTTGTAGAAACGTTACAGTATGTAAAATAAATGGAATACATTTGTACAAATTAGATAGTAGTAGTGGGTGTAGGGTGTTAAAACTTACATCCTTTATTCCGGTATATTGCGGGATGGATTCCACGGCATGTATGAACAATGGTCGTCCGCCGCGGGTTAAGCACCACACTGGCATCCCAGCACACATTCTTCATGCTATGCCGCGGCACTTGAGGATACAACGCCAAACCGATCGGAGGTTCGGCGGCGCCGTCCAGCGCACCGTAAATGGGCCATGCATTATAACTCAGGATTCCGTAGTAGGAGGAATTTTCAGCTTGCATGGTTGATTTTCTGTGGACAGATTGAACAAGATTTGCACACAACTCAGCAGGAATTTGCAGACAAATCACGGCAACTGGCTTACTGCGACTGCATCATGCGATTGAGTTCCGATTGCTCGGGATTTGCCGGCAGCATGAGCAGAAGATCTTTGGCCGACTGGGAACCCATTCCGGGCATGTCAATCATCGTGTTCAACTGAAAAACACAAATTGCAATTACTGCGAGGAACCGAGTAAGCATCACAACAATAGCGAATGGATTTCCTTCCTATATCTGTAGGAGGAAGTTTAATAAGAACGTTAACAACTTAAGGGACTGCCAGATTTCCCAAATATATGCATTATGACTTCATGACCTGTGGCTAAAGGTAGCAACAGTACGTACTGAAGTTCACCACAGGTCAGGAGCGGATTCAGGGCGACCGCACTGTAGCGACACTTGCAAGTTGATCCATAAATTTGGTATACTTGTAATGGGAAATGAGCAAATTTATGGGAGTGCAGAAAACTCAGTACGGTATACTTACCAGTTGCATTCCTACAATTAAGTACACCCCGTCCGGAAACAAGAGCCAAAGCGTGTACGTGGAATATCTGTATAAGCAGGGACATCTGCACGTCTCAGTTAAATACAGTGCTATGCATGTACAGAGTACGTATTGTATCTGTAGAAGTCTCGTAAAATTCTCCCCGTTTAAAACTTTTTAGCTCTTGTTTTCGGGCGGGCTTGCGCTCACTTCTATCTTAAGCGTATTAAATTTAGGTACTTCGTACAAAACAACCCTAATATGCTTTTATCTGCAAAATGCGTGTGTGATCAATAACATACTTGTAAAACAGTAAACAAATCCTAGTGTGACGTTTGCAGATTGCGCATTCCTAATTTGTACTGGACTCACCTTAATTTTACAGTCCAGCTTGACGATCATGTCACTGATGACCACGATAGACGCGGGGAGGCCGAGCGATGATAAGTCAGTTAGAAGGCCGCCTATCAACTTGCTAACCGTATGGTCCATATCGGTTTTTATACCACTAATCTGCTTCAGCACGGCGCATTCTGTTTATGCTCCAGTTTCCAGTCAGCGGCCTGCATTAAATCACCCAGCACAATAATTATACTTCCATACACATCCGGTGATCGGAAGGTGAAAACACCAGAGCTAAGAATACTGTAAAAAACTTTTTTTTGGTGGCTGAGATTCTTCTGCATCCGAATGTTACTCGTTTCTGCACCGTGTGTGGCAGTTCATAACAGATTTAATTTCCCAAACGATCAAGGATGACTTAGAGGGCGAGGATCTCACTTGGCTAGTTGGCTATAGTTGGCACTAAAGTTATTCAGAATAATTCTACTTGCCAAAAATCCCATTTCCGCGTTCACAGCTCCGACCCTTATTTTTTCATCTTCGTGATTGTTAGGCATACGACCCGAATTACATTTTGTAAACCCAGTTTAATTTTTACATCGTTCCGTTTCTTTTCTCACCTGGCAAGTAGTGTCACAGTAGCGGTGCAACCGACACCCCGAACACTTGCGCAATTCCTCGCTGTCATGAAAGCAGAAAGCACAGTGGGTTTTGTAGGCGTCGCGCTCCAGGGCCCACACCAAAGGATCATAGGACATTATAACGTCGCTGGGAACAAAGCAGCGGCTGCCGGGGTTCGCCACCTCCTCATGGGTTTCCATTCTGCCTTAGTGTTATGACGCTAGATCTAAAGCAGATCCAGATGCAGAGACTACAACGGAAGTGATCCTGCTGAGTGAGCAATGCTGTAAGTATTGCGAGCGAAGAAGGAAAATTCTAATGCCCGACCAGCAACTGCAAACTTTATTGAATGACGATGCGTTCGGCGAGCTGCATTCTGCTGCCCACTTATTATCCGCATGCTCGCATGTGGCGAGATGAAGAGAACAGACATGAACGGCTCTAAAGCCAAGAACAAAGGCCAGCGAGACACAAGCACAGACAGAGGAATCCGTACATGCAACCGGATACAGGTGTACGTAGTACACGCTCACACGGTGAGCCTCACAGTGTTAAAGAATAAAGACTAACCAAAATCAGTTGGATGAAGCTGGATGCAACAAAGAATAAAAAATGCCTCACAAAATGACAGAAACTGAAACTTGATGCCGTCGCCGTGGTTTAATAACCCGGTGACTTGTCAGAACAGTCCACAATCGGGAGTCGGCGGGACGACAAGTGCAGCTAGGCTCTAGCATATCATGATGTGAAGGCTGTGAATAAAATGCATGTACGGATTATGAAATTGCTAGGTCTTCATTTTCGGATTCTCGGCGAATACATGCAGTAACAAAAGACATCGTGACCTCATTTGTTTGTTTTGAAGCGTTAGCTGCAGACTTGCATTGTATTACAGCTAATGGCATTTCAGTGAAGTGTATCGTGTATCGCCTTCTGCGAATGGACTCGCGCGATTCTCCCGGTCCCATTTTTTGCTTCCGGTAGCTGATCATCCCAAATCAGCACTCGTCTGTGCAGCGCTACAGAGGCAGACGATCCCTGGTCATTAGTCGAAGACAGCGGAAAAGATCATATTCTGGATACATGATACATCCTTCTAAACGGATTATACGGTATCATAGCCAACCGGCTAGTTTGATGCGCCAGACAGCCGGCAACTAGCAGCTGCCCCGCCGAAATTCCTGACGTTGGTCCCAGTATAATGTTACAGCTGTTAGAACGGCGCTGTAAACCGGAGTGCGCAACTTACATCTCCAAGTCCAGTAAATTGCGGCATGTCCTCCACGGCGCAGATGTGCAGTGTTCTAGATGGTTCGGTTAAATGTCACAGTTTTTTTATAAGGAACGAACAAGAATCTCCCTACTCCAAATAGCGAACTGAAATGCAGCGACCCACTCAGTTGAACAACTGCAAATTTTTATTTAAAAAGGAAGAAATTCAAGTTTTTGTTTCAGGACATGATGTAACATATCCCGGGTTTTCAAAACAAATCCAGGAAAGGTCAAACCTCTGTTTACTGTTACTGCAACTTAATTTTACTGTAAAGTCTATAAACAACACTTTCGAATGAAGCTAACGTGAAGTCAACCAAGTGTTCAACGGATACACCGCAACTTGATCAACAGACCGACATTTTGTTTAGCAACCCATTGCAAAAGGTACGACCAATTATCGTTTATCGATCTGATTCACTACTATGCATGAAAAAATAAATAAATTTCATATCCCGAAAGAGACAATTAGGTAAAATAAGGACCGTTATGTAAGCATATAAAAACCGAAGCTCATAACAGTAAAGACTAAACAAATACTCGAAGCCAAAAATCAGATTTCACATTGCTTTGGGTTCACTACCGCGAAAACCTCGCTCGATGGGGCCTATAATCACAGTCATACGCTCCAGTGTAGAATCGGCCTCCTGCACCTCCTTGGACTCCGTCCCAAACAAAACAGTAAAGATTTCTTTGGCCTCCTCGCAGTATTCGATTACAACACGACATATTTCAGGAGCCAATGTGACCATTTCATTTGCCGCCGGTCCCGACAACCGACCTGTCCCATTCACCACTCGCTCGTACAGCGCAGTAGTGGCAGCCATTGCGTATCCCATCAGTTGCAGACCGCGGAAAACATCATACTTTGGATACATCTTTCTAGAGACAACTCTAGTTTTATCTTTCGACGATCGCGGTTGTTACTGTACACTTGGTACAGAGATATGCATTTGTTTTTAATGAAATAATTTTTAAAAACTCTAGAGGCAGCACACAACACAGAAATTCAGTACTTCCAGCCCCAAGGCACTTCACCAGTTATTTCGGTTTACTGAGAGTATCCGAATAATTCAGCAGTTACAGTATGTAAGTAGTTTGATTTATTAGCAAATAATCCGATAGTTAACTGACAACGGAAATCTGTAATTAACCAAATAATTAAAACAATGATAACAATTATTGATGAAAATTAATGATGATACATGTTAATAATAATAACTAGTAACAATTAATGACATTCATAATAATTATCAACACATTATCAAACTTGAGTATAGCTAAATAATATTCAATTAATGATATTAATTATCAACAACATTAACAAACTGGAGCATGGCTAAATACTAATAACTTTCAGTTATTAGAATCACTACGTAAACAGTTAGAAGTTAAATTTACTCTATTGTAAGTAATAAATGAAAAGTCCATATAGGGGTGAAGTCGGAAATTTACCGCATGCAGGCAGTCAGTTGCTGGATCATCTTCCAGCCATCACCCAAGCGGTCCTCATTGAAGTACTTGGTCGGCAACATCCAGCCGCAGACAAAACGGAAATGCGCATCCGGCTGCAAAATGCCGGCCAGCTCCACATCCTGTCCCAGCTTCGTGACCATGCTCATCGCTATGGCAAGGGACTCCACGTGACGCCATTTAATGCTTTCAAACTCCTGCACAAAATGACGGAATTGCGCCAAACGGTCACGGTTAGTGGCACCGCATTGCGCGCAGGGCGCCAGTGCACGGCTATCGCTGGGAATCCGATTGGTGCATCCACTGGTCACACATCGCAACGAGTTAATGTTAGCATCCTAAGGATAGACCGATCATGTCGAAGCAGACATCAGGATCAATTGACAGTAATCACACTACTCATACATATTCATCTTTGCATCGACGGCAAGTACACGGATAACCGTGACGCATCTGGAACTGCTCGCGTCGTTCTCCTTTTGTTTGGCGAGATGGCTCCAGTACGTCACTGTATCGCAACTGCAAACATCAGTAGTGAACATAACTGCATCGGCTTCACGATTAATTTTTGGTCACGTGACCTCTTGCTCTTTCTGTCCGACAGATCTTCTGTGTATCTACTCTGCAGCGTTACGTCCAGCGAAAATATGCGACTTACCTCCTTAAGTTCCGTGTACTGTGGAATATCTTCCACCGCATGTATGAATAATCGTCGTCCGCGACGGTTAACCACAACATTGACATCCCAACACACCGGCGTCATTTGTCGCCGTGGCGCTTAATGGGTACAGCGCGAAACCGATCGGGGGATTTCCGTTACCGGTCAGCGCAGCGTACAGGGGCCATGCATTACAGCTGAAGATAGTATAGTACTTCAGGCAGTCGATGACCGGCACGGAACTTCCCGGTTCCATGGCGGAGAATCTATGAACACAAACAACGGGGAGGAAATTTGCACACAGACACAGGCATCGGGAAAAAAGTGGCATACTTCAGTTGGATCGCGCGTTCAGCTTCCGCTGACACGGGATTTGCCGGCAACATGAGCAGAAGATCGCGGAGAGATTTCGGAGCCATTTCTGGATTATTCGCCAATGCGTTCATCTGGAAAAATTACGAAACCCTATTCCAGAAAGCAGTAACAGTACAGCAAACTGAGCAAAGTACAGCACGATCGGAGCTGAAAATTAATATCCTAATAGGGATAATAGTTACAGTAGAAATACGGTTTTAGTAAAGTGCTAGAGGCAGGCATTTGCAATACCTGCCTCTAGTACCTTACTAAAAGTTTAATAATAATAAAGAAACAAAATTTATTTATTTAATGTTAGTGTAACTTTACACCGCTCAGTGAGAGTGTCAGACCAAGTATAGGGAGAAACAGAATTAGCTGGGAAAAATTTTCAGAACATTTTCGATTTGACAAAATTAAGAACAGAATAATTATTATAAGCACAGCGATAAAATCCAAAGAAATGCTTAACGTTCTGGCACTATCATATGATTATATTGGACCAGTTAATCTGCGCGAGATTTAGTTTTTGCGCAAAGTTTACTTCCGTTTCGTCTTACCCTAATTTTGAAGTCCAATTTGATGATCATATCAGTGAGAGTACCACTAGACACGGGAAAACCGTTCGAAGTTTCACCCGTAAGTCCTTCTGCCACCGCAGAGATGATGCGGCTCGTACCCGTGCTCTCCATTTTGCCAATCTCCTTCAGCAGGGCGCATTCCATCTTGTGCTCCATTTTCCAGTCAGCGGCCTGCATCAAACCAGCCACACAAATTAATGCAGTTAGTAAGGCCCTTTAAAGAAGTTTTAAGCCCACACCTATATGAGGGCAAAGAAGTCTTCAGTCCTAGTCTAGATAGCTAGTCCCGGTCCCCAACGCTAGCTTAGGGTGCACAATAAGGTGACAAAAAGGGAAAAGGTAACGAGTACACCCAGTACAGACTCTTCCAACCCACAAGTGCGGTTTTACTGACTGTTGTGGAAGAGTGATGACTTTGAGTCTGTGATGTGAACCAAATGTATTGTGAAGGACTAGGTTTTCTCATCTTTTCTTACCTGGCACCTGGTGTTACAGTAGTAATGCAGCAAACATCCCGAGCATTTGCGTAAATGCTTGCTATCGCGAAAGCAATAGGCACAGTGGGTTTTATAGGCACTGCGCTCAAGGACCCACACCAGAGGACTACACGACATTACAATATCACCGGGAACGAAGAAACGTCTATTAACGCTCGGCACAGCGTCTTGGGTCTCCATTCTACCCTAGGTCTAAAGGTTTCACCAAAAGCAATTATTGGGGAGAAGCAACGTTCAAATTACTGCACAAGCAAATAGTTCCCAAAATGCCAAACTCAAAACTGTCCCGTCATACGATCAATCCCAGTACATAATATCAAGTACTAGTAATACTGTATTATGGATCAGTCCAAGTAGCTGACAGCAGCGGGCGGACGCCATAAGACGGGAATTACACCATTGAGCAGAACAGTTTCAGTAGTCACTAGTCAGTAATGTTTCAAGTTACTGCGTTTATTTTTCGATGTCCGCTAAATTTTTCGGTAGAAGCTTCAATTTTCATGATCTGGCAAAATTACAAAAAGAAAGAGATGAGAACTTAATCCGTCTTTTCCGCCATACGCTGCATTGGCTGCAAACGAACAACAAATGCGACAAGTACACGGATGCCGGTAACGCCTCTGAAATTCAGCATGCCGGCCTGTGAAGTCGTTTTTCCTTGTCGCTGTGTGCGTAGCGCCACTCAAGTGAAACGTAAGATATCACAAAGAAAATAAGTAGAAAGATCGCAACTGATTTTGTACATTTTTCATCAGACAGCAAGCAGTTTTGTGCAGTAGTTAGACAAATCTAAAGCAATCTGGAATCAGTTAGCAGCTGGTATTAGTTTTTCGTTTGGTTTGTGGTGTGCTTACAAATAGGTGCCACGTCGAGTCTTCGATTCCGTTCGTCAGTTGCACTTTACGTTGATTTGGGCCTTTCCATGGGGCGCACTATCTGTACATACAGAGTAAACTGACGCAAACTCTTCCACGAAGTTCCCTTCTGAGTAATTATGCAGAAGCGCACTTCATGCTGGTGAATGCGGTTTACTTCTTCCAGTCCTATAAACTGCTGAATATCTCCAGCAGCATGTACAAGCAGGCACAGGGGAAATTTGCGAAAAGAACATGCGTTATCTAGCGGAAGAAAACAGAGTGCCAAAAGGCGACATTACATTGCAATTAATACCGAGTATGCCGACTACGATCCTGCAAACATTTATAGCGGACATATGTGATCACAGACGTATTGACAATTATTTTTATTTCCCACATTAATAGTACGGAAACGATTTTTCAGGCAGTGCTTGAAATACAGCTTTGTTACTTTGCCGTGAATGCACGGAGTTGGTTCTCATCGAAATACTTTATCGGTAACACTCAGCAGCAAATAAAACGGAAATGTGCATCGGACTGCCGAATGGCGGCAGTTTACAGTTGCTGGCCGAGATTCGTGACCATGTTCACCGCAATAGAAAGAGCCCCGAGTAAAGCCATTTAATGCTCTCGTATTGCTCTCACATCGCAACGGATTAACGTCGGCATCCCAAGAAGACCACAGATTTGGAAATACGGTTTGTCGGTAAATACTGTATTAGGATTAAAGGTACACACAGATTCTTCCGTGCATTTACGGCAGGTACACGGATAACCACGTCTATTCTGGAACTGCCGGCGACCTTCCGTTTTGGTGTGGTGCGATGGCTGTAGCAGTTCGTTGTATCGTGACTGCAACAGAAACGCCTGATGCGGGTGACCGCTGCTTTGACCTTTTGTCGCTGAATCACTTGTGAAGTCGGCCATATTCGTTTAGCACCTTCTGCTAAAAAAATGCTGCATTCGGCTTACTTGAGAATTCTGGTGAAAGTTTGACGATACTCCGGTACTGCTTGACGAGCAACAACAATCCAACATATTAACAAATGACCTTATGAAGTAAACATACAATTGAGGACAACACATCAGTTCCCATACATATAACTGCTGAAAGTGCAACATGATTATATGTGTTTGCGTGTCACGGACCATTGCATCCGCTTTGGCCAGGCAGATTATCATTTACGGCACTTTCGATGTATGGACATAATCGTCGACGATTCGTCGTTATTTCTCTTGATTCGTTTCAAGTATCTGTTTACTACGCCGCAAAATGTCTGTACGAAAATGAATCGTCGCTGATTAACGAACTTAACGTTGAATGTTCAGTGCTGTGCACTCGCTACATTCGAGTAACTTGTAACGAACATAAGGAATTGCTCGTTTTTCTTCAACCAATATAACAATAACAACATTTATAATTATTCCCGTAAAAAAACAGATACTGGGTACAATAACGACTGCAACAAAATCCCATCCAATCCTCACAAAGACACGCGGAAAGTTTTACAAACTGCACTACATTATAATGAAATTTGAGCTTTCCTTATAATGAAAATTGAGGACAATTAAAGGGTTATTAAAAAATTATTCAACAGCTTCGCAAAAAGTGAAAAAAAACGCCGCTGCCAGACTGGACGACTCAGCAGTCTGCAGCAAAACAACAACAGGACTTTAGCAAAACAGTACCATGGCTTCATCAATTGCTGCCGCGAAAAGCCTGCTTAATGCGGCATACTGAGGAAGTGATCTCCTCCATCTCAATATCGCAACACTTGGCTTCATTTGACTGTCATTCTGTCATTCTACCGTACAATAAAGCAAAAATATCTCTCACTTCGTTACGGTAATCCAGCACGAGAGAGCACACGTGATCCGCCAGGATTTTCAGCTCCGATTTCGCCAGGCGCGACAGCTTTCTGCCATCATTCAGGACGCGCTTTTCCAGCGCTTGTGCGGTGCACCACGCAGCGGACGTCAGCAGGTTGGCACGAAAAATCGTGTACTTTGGACAAGCCTTCCTGAAGACGATTACAACACCTTAAATATATTTTTCTGAGTTTAATCGATTAAATTATTTTATAACTGTGTAGTTTATGATAAATTGGATGAAGTGTGACATTTCTAATTTACCGCGCACAGCTGACAAATTCCTGCATCATCTTCCAGCCATCATCAAAGCGGTCATCAATGTAATACATCTTCGCCAAGTCCCAGCCGCAGATATAACGGAAATGCGCAT